ACCCAATGAAATATGATGGCTTGTGTGGCTCATAATCACGGGACTGCCGATTATTTTCGGCACCACTAAGTTATTAGATCGGAACGCGTAACGTCATCAATCCAAGCCACAATCAGGTTATGTATCGGTATGACAGTATCCACATATCGATATCACCTATGTAAAGCAGAATGGACATTTATATATTGATATAATTTATAGTTGTACATATTTATGTCATGATTCCGTTTCACACTTATTCATTGCCATGACCATCAATTATACGAGACGACGACAACAGTAACGGAATCATGGCGCACGTAGAACAAATGGTGAGGGTTCATGCGTAAGTGCTTGTCGACAATTATTTTGGCTCTTATTTTCTTACTGTAATAAAAAGATAATAAATACATGAGGTTAACTCTATATAATGATATGAACGCGTAAGAGTAAGGTCAAGCGACAACTATTGATTTTATGCTCCTATTTTTCTTTTTTTCCTTGGCTCCTGAAAGGGTTCGGCCAATGTTCGCTTAGGAGGCTTTTCTATCCTTTCCTCTTGGTAAACCTCATAAATTATCTTTTCTTGGTCCAGATAATCCTTGATAGTCTGCGTGCTTTTTAGTTTGAAAATGTAAGGAGCAATTTTTTCGCCTTGCCCTTGCTTTAAAAGAGAGCGTAAAGTGCTGTAGTTTTTGGGCTCCATAGTGGATCTGATATAGATGAGTTTCATATATTTCAATTTTATATACACGGCTACTCCTATGTATAACGATAATACATAATAAATATACAATATTATCAAATTTTTACAAAATCAGACAAACTGCGTAATATATATATAAAATATATATATATATTGTAGACGACACAATCATGAACGAATATGAGAGCTCTCCATTTCTTAGAAGTGGGATGTGGTTGCGGGTGCTCCGCTAAGTTACCTAAAGAAGAGTTCGCTGTGCTGCGGGAAGACTTTCAAGCGCTAACAAAACCTGAACAGGACATCTTCTTAATGGCCCAACTCAAATCTATGGATGGAGGAGCAATTAGTACTAGCCGACGTTTCAAGAACAAGACTCGCACTAACAAAAGAACCATCTACTGCTGAAATCGTAATACCCCTATTTGCCAAAAAACATACCTCAATATGTTAGGCATTGGCCGTAATTACTTGGAAAACATCCGAAATCACTTGCTCAAGAATGGTCTTCTACCACGGGTCCATGGTAATGTAAAAAGAATGCCACGGTGAAAAACCAGGATGGTCATCAATATTGACGTGGCTACCGCGGTCAGGAATTTTTTGTTGAATTATGCCGAAGTACATGGCTTACCCAGCCCAGTAAGAAATGTCAACCGAGTTACCCAATCAATTATTTTCCTACCAGCGGAAATGAGTTATAAATCTGTTCATCGTGACTTTTTGGCTGGTCTAGAAAAAGATAGTAAACTACGTGCCCTTAAGTATGATGCATTTCGCAAGTTATGGCATCAACTTACCCCGTACATTCAAATCATGAGCTCCCGAACCGACTTATGCGATACCTGTCAACAGTTGCGGAATGACTTGCAATTTAAAGCCCGCAAGGAGGAAGAGGCCCAAGATCTATTAAAGAAATATAAAGAGCATCTAGCCAAAGCCAAGTTAGAGCGAAACTATTATAACAAAAATACCAAGTTGGCAGAAGAACATAGAAAGCTCGTCGACTATATTTATTCCATAATGAAAGGCAAAATACCATACCGTAGCATTGATGTGGCTGCCCACTACAGTTACGACTGAGCCCAAAATGTCCATGTACCTCATTCGGACCAGCAAATCGGAAAAGTGTATTACCTTAGTGCTCGCAAAGTGCACTTATTTGGTATCCAAGATGAAGCGGTCCGTGAGCAACTTAATTATGTGCTGGATGAGAACGAACTTCTTGGAAAGGGTCCGAATGGTATCCTTAGCCTAGTCTTCGATGGGATCAAGCAATTGAATAAAGGCGAGAAGCACCTGAAAGTCACTTGCGACAATGCTGGTGGACAAAACAAAAACAATGCCACTATTTGGTTTTACTTGTATCTGGTAATTGCAGGCTATTACGAAAGTATTGAACTCAATTTATGGTTCCCGGTCATACCAAATTCAAGTGTGATGGTAGCTTTGGTCTGATTAAAAGACTTTACTGTAATACCACAGTAGATTGTGTCGATCATGTCGCAGACGTGGTGAAAAGGTCCAGTATTGCCGGACTAAACAAAGCGCGGCGTTATAATGATAAAGAGGGTTTTCAATATTATGATATTTTAAGCAGTTTGGCAGCCTACTTCATGAAACTGCCGGGCATGCAAAAATTTCAGCACTTCCTTTTCACCAATATTAATCCCGGCGTAGTCAAAACTCAAAAAACTGTGAACGGTCCTTTCCAGGAATTCAAGTTAATAAAAACTAGTCAATTTGAGACTTCAAAAGTCATAGAAAAAATTAAAGCGTTATCATTTCCAGTGCTGGTGCCTCCTCTGATGAAATATGAACGACAAGAATATCTCTATAATTATATTCGCCCCTTTGTCCGAGATGAATTTAAAGATATTACTTGCCCAAAACCATTGGTACGCAGCGCAAATGAATAATAATAAATAACAGCAAATCATTTTGATTTTAATAGTCGCTAGTAGTTTCTTTGGAGAACATGTGCTTCTTCCAAC